AACATTGGCTGTCAAAAAACATCGTGCAATCAATGATTTGGCAGTAACCTCCTGCTAGCCAACCGATCGTCTGCGGTCCGCCGATGGCAGTTTAAAACGCCAACTGGCGCTAGCCTTTTCGTGATAGGACCGTAAAGAGATTTCACTCTAGAAGAGCGCCGTAAATCAATGAAAACTTCACGAGAAACTGTTGGCACGCCATGAATAAGGAGGCCACAGTAATAAGGTAATCGAATTCTCTTTTGGCAACAGCGGTTTAGCGCTCGCTAGGCAAGAAACGGCGAGAGTGTCAAACTACAGTGATTGTAAATTCTTCAATCAATAGACTTTACACCATTGATTGTTTTGTTGTTTTTCTGTGTCTTACAGTCCAACTCAATTTATCATACAAGTGCAATGCTGTTTCTTGATCTGAACTTAAGCCAAATGCGTCCGGTGCTTTATATTGCACACTGGAAAGCAGCTTGAACTTCAAACGTAGACGTTTTAATCGTTTAGCTCATTGGGATTAAATCATTCAAAAAAACAGCCGCTGTGTAGTTGTCATTTCGTGAGAAACCGGGATATAATTAAATTCCGTGAGACTTAAGATTGCAGTTCAACTGCTACTATACGCACAAAAGGCAGCTCAATTGGTAGAGCACACGTCTTTGAGCAATGAGTTCACGTCCTATCTGGGTCACTCATCTTCCGTTCTTTGCAGCTCATTCCGTTGATTATGCATGATAAAGAAACAGCAGTCTGCACGTTTCAGTGGCCGCAGGGTTGAGGATATGACTTTCATAAAGTAAGAAACTCCTCGCTGCCAACATCGATAAGCAGATCAACGCTGCACCAGCAGCGCCGCGAAAGAATCACGCACGGTCGGCATTACACCACAAAGAAAGGGTACCACGAATATCGTTCATCATGAAGGTGCAACGGATAACAACATTCCAACTGCTACCAGAGTACTGGTTGATCTATACCCACTATAGCGGGATGTGCTGGATACGGAGATTAGTAAACAGGACAAGATATACGTCATAGAATGTACAACGCTTTAAATTTGGACCCTTTGGAGGCTCGATCTGCTTGCGACGCTTCATGAGTTAAACGTGCCAAAATAAATATTTAATAGAGCAGAAATACGTAGCACTGGACATCATTTTTAAATTCATTTCGTCTGCTGGAACGCGCACGCGGATTTGGTACGCTGGATCATCTGTTCATTTTGTACTCGTCATTCGTACATTCCTAAATTATCTCGCGGGAAGACACCTCTGATAATAAACCAAATCATACATAATAAAAGGGGACACGTTCCTGACCAGGGGACTTAACTCCCAGAAAATTCTTAAAACATAATTTTGCCAGGTTGAAATTTCAGTAGGCTATTAATTGCTTAATTTATAGAAACGCGATTTACTGCAGCATTGAAATATTTGAATGACCCAACTGGCAGCTGGATAAAAACTTATTGTCGCCGGAAGCGTGTTTTAATATTCGGCACCTACTATAAATCTGTGCAATATAAAGCCCGTCCATCCAAAGAAACACTCTATCCGCTGATACCAGAATCAATCAGAATCTGATCAGTAGATAAAGAGAGAAAAGTGTCTCACGTCCAGTACCATTTCATCACGACAGTAAAGTCAGATTAACAGAGGTTAACAAATTGGGCCCACCCCAGAACCAACCGTCGTGATTGTTGGAATCTGTGGGTTGTTGTGCCATATAAAACGGACTCGTCCAAACCGTGACGATGCATTGAGAAAAGAATTATTACTAAATCATGGGAAAACAGTACTCATGTTCGGTGAAACAAGATGACGAAGCACCTTCTAATTCAGTTCGGTTTCAGGAATGGAAACCGCTAAGCATGCTTGCATTGATTTATACATAGATTCTACTCGTTGTCACCATTAGAAAATGCCTCGGTCAACCTACCGTGCATTCGAGATAAGTTTCATAATTTAGGTAAATGACTGCATACAGGGTTCATTGCTACCGAATCCTGGTTTGGGTTGCTCTATTACTTTACACTGAGCTTGCCAACAACTAGCGATGTTTTCATATTCATCATCTCATCATCCATGATCGCTTCTCCTTTCGGGTCGCAAATGCAGACGCGTCCGACAGTGCTTCTAACGTTCACGATCTTGTGCCAAGTCTGAGTTTCGGTAGAAAGCAACTGAAGTCTGGAGCAGACTCGTTCAATATATTTCCACCAGGTTAATCTAGGCCATTCTCTGGTCCTTTTGCAGGTCGGCTAGATAAGAAATAGTTGCTTCGCCTTCCATTCTGGAGGACTTCGCAACACGTGCCGAAACAATCA